AGAACGATGAAGCGAATCGAAAGAACGCTATAAAGATCAGCAAGTTTCAGGGCGTTCTCGGAGATTACGTCAATTATTTCAATGCTGAGCAGATCGACAAACTAAATGATATGATTTACAATCGCCTCGAGTCTCAAAAACTGGTTCTCACCGATGATGCCTCTTCCGCCTTGAGAAGAATCAACAAGTTTGGCCGCCTGATTGAAGACCGAATTAGCGAAAAGAAGGTCAAAGAAGAGACGCCTTTGCTTATTGCCAGCGACACGAGCACTTGGGCAAAGGCAAAGTCCAAGTTCCGGAAGAAGCCCGTTTTCACAGAAGCCGAAGCGGTTTTCATTCGAAAAAAGGACAAAGTGGTGATTGTAGAAGAACGCTACCAACCAGAGATAGCGCCAATTGAGCGTCAAAGTACCTGGAGTCGATTTTTGGGCGCCGTTTTCTGCTGCGGTCGACAGCGAGGCTACACCCCGTTCTAGTCGAATGTCGGAAAGAATGAAAGTGTTTTCTAGTGCATGGTCAGTTCTAGAAAGAGCACACTCACGCACACTTTAGCTCAGCACAGCTGAATAGTTGTTGACTGAATAGTTGTTTGTTGACTGCCGCGGCGATTAAAGGTTTCCATTGAACGGCTGACTCGCCCGAGTGCATTTGTGATCGGTGATCATACTGATTTTTTACTGGCTACCAAAAACTTGCTCTACCAATTACTGAGAGGACGCTTGATTAGGTTCGATCATGGCGTGATCACCTTGAACACCTTGGTGCCTCTGCCACTGTCTGCCGCATCCCTTGCACGAGGGAACTGCTGTCGCCGCTGCTGCTGCTACCTTTCACTATCAGCCAGGTGTACCGACGACAAACAGACATTAATGCGAGCTAATCAGCAATTAGATGGCAATGGCGTCACAGAACAGAACAGGATTGCAGCACTCGGAAGAGTGGGACAGACAGTGAATAAATGCTGATTCGCAGGTGACAGTCGCTTTAGTACTCTCCGACCACTTCGCCGACTTACTACTGATCGTTCGACATTCTGTAGTGATTCTCCCGTCAAGATGAATTCTAAAATTGCCTTGGCAGTTGCTTTGTTGGTAGTTTCTCTGGTTCACTGTTCTGATGCGGCACCAATTGTCAGCCGAAACGACAAAGACGTTATTGTGGATGTTTCGTAAGTAATTTTTTTAAAATAATTAATTAAACTGTGTTTTATTTACCTTTTGTTTTCTTGTAGACCGTTTTTCAAAATGGTGTTGCACAAAGACCCTGCACAGTCGACCACCATTCTTGACATTGATGTGCTGAGTGGTCTGGTCAAAGTTGGCTACGATCGAGTGCAAGGGGGCAAACCAAATGTTGATGTGTCAGTTTTTGGATTTGGCAGCAACGGTCGAAGGCCACCATACACACCGCCAACACAACCTGAAGGAGATGCTGAACCGATATAAAGAAAAAAATTGCACTTTTTTGTTATAAAATCCAAAGATAATTACTCTACAGTAGAATGATGATGATTACAAATAAAAGTGGAAACTGGTAATTCCGATTGCATTACATAATTAACGTTTGTGAAAGTGGAAAATGGTGTACTTGAATTTGTTGAAAATGTACTTTAATTAAATTGTCATTGATTTATAAAACGCAAAATTAATTAATCAAGTGCATGCACTCGATTAAGCTCAAATTAATGAATCAATAAAAAAGTAAAAAATCAGAATTTTGACATTTTTATTTTTCTGCAATACATCGTACCTAAAAAGTAAATCAAAAAGTTTGAGTATTTTGCTTATTATAATTCAGTAAATAAACTACTAAATCATTACATTGTAAAAAACTGCAATGAAGGCTCATTTGAGGTTTTTCACAATCTTAAAATCACAGTAAAGAGGGTAACACTGTACGAAACAATGAATTTTGTTATTTAGAAGTATCTCAATGGTTAGCCTAATTTTCTATCTTATAAAAACAACTAATAACTGATAACAACCGCCGTTTGGCAACAAAACAGCATCTTTTTGTTCATTTAAGTAGGGATTACTCTGGTCAACTACCATTTCGGCAGTTTGTTTTTTAGCCATGTTGATGCGTTTTTTAATTTTGTGTGTCCTGATTTTTGTCCTTCAACTGGCACATGTGCATTTGCAAGGACAGCATCCATGGGCAAACAGTACCTTGTTGACTGTTGAAACGGCAGAAAATTGTCTTCGAGAGTGTCGTTTTGTGAAGGCACTTTGCGTTAATGATGTTCGAATATTCGAATGCTACGCTTTTGCCTTTAATGTCATGCACCCACAGTGCGCTCAAGAAAGTAAGCTATTTGATTTGGGAGTAAGAAACGTTCTGATAATATTTTTTCATTTATCTAAAAACTAGTTACAAACACCAGTCAACTGATACAAAATGCTGATACACTTAAGCAGAAGAATTCCCCAGTAGACGCTTGTTTGCTGCTAAAGACGTGTTTATTGCTTGAACTGAAGGAAATTAAAAAGCAGCAAAGGGGGCAACAAAAAATAACTAGACTGGCAATAACTTCAACAGGTATTTCAGATTCCCTTTCTTCGGAAACGAGTGGACCACGTAAAAGAACTATAAAACCAAAGTTGGCTTCTCGCAAGAAGAGGGGACACAGTGGTGGAAAATTAAAAAAGAAAAACAAATCTAATTAGTTTGATAGTAACATAAGGTGATTTGTTTTATAAATAGTTTGATTAAACCGTTTGGTTAAAAACTTTTAATTGATGTTGTAATAGTATTGTTTTGTTTATCTTCTACCACTGGACCAGCTGCATCAGTTCCCATCATTTTAAAATTGCTTCTAACTTAAAGTTAAAATAAACTGCTAATCACATTGTAATCCCATGCAATGAAGTTACATCCGCAATGATAAGCACTGAGTGGCAACTTACCTGACTTACTATAAAGGCGTTGCACCCAAAAGGTATTGTTTAGGTGTTTTTACAGCTAGCAACAAACTCATCGTTCAACCAAAACAAAATGAAGTTCTTCCAGCTTTTTTCGTGGATCCTTGTGGCACTGGTTGCCAGCCTAGTCTCCGTTGAAGCTATCTGTGGCCGAGATGGAGCTCCCTGCAAAGCGGACAGCGACTGCTGCACTAAACTGTGCGACGTCAAGGCAAAGACACCCAGTTGCATTGGTGACTAATTTTGATGATGATGATCAATAATCATGACAATTAAATTACGGTGAGATACATAGTTCTAAATTGTAAGAAAACAACACTTGCAAAATTCTAAAATTACAGAGGTTCTAAAACCTAATAGTTTAATAAAAACTTGTGTTTACACTGACTGTCTGTTTATTTGCATTTTTGAATTGCCAATTTATTACGTGTCATCTAAGAGAATGGGTAACGAAGGGAAAAAGTCAACGATAAAGTCAACGTCTAACAAGAGCAAAAAACCAAAAAGCAGTGATTCTAAAGTTAAAAAGAGCACTGTTCAGTCAATTTCAAAACGAGCAATTTCAAAGGCGAACAACAGCAGCAAGAGCAAGAAGATGAAGAAGAAAAGTGCCGCATCTTCTATGAATTCAAAGAAAAGCGCCTCTGGTCTTGAAAAAAAGAAGAAAAGTGCGGCTGAAGTGGAAAAGAAAAAGAAAACGAGTGCTTCAGTTCCTGAAAAGAAGAACAAGAAAAGTGCCGCTAGCTCTAAACCTAAACCAAAGTCTGCTGACGTGAATGGTGCTCTCACCAACTTTGCACATAATCTCTATGAGAAGATAAAACCTTTCTTTGAGCAATCGCCAGATGGGGAAAAGAAAGATGATGCTGAGGGTGAGAAAAAAAAGAAAAAGACATGCGGCAACAATGACAAGCCGCACAACCGAAAGTCAAGGGTCAGCACTGTCAGCAAAAAGCATGGCAGCCATGACAAGAAAGAGCACCACCCCCACGGAAAACATTCAGGTGGTCATAAAGGCTTTTTTGAAATTGAAGTTACTAGTGATCACATGAAGCAGCAGCCTCCGTCTGGAAAGCACACTTTTCCCTCGCTTCCGCTAATGAAGCCAACTGCTGAGCACTCCCACCATGGTCAATCGAAGTGCTCCTCAATGAAATCGGCTAAAAAAGCGAGCCACAAAAAAGTCTCCGCTCATTCGCAGAAAAAGTCCAAACCGGCAGCTGCAAACAAAAAGTCAGCTGAAATGTCAAAGAAAAGTCAGAAGAAGAAAGTGAAAAGCTCTGCCGCTGGTAACAGTTCAAAAAAGAGCAAATCATTCAAAATGCCGCGATTCGAGTTTTACACCTCAAAAATGGCAATCACCTTTATCAAAGGCAAACAGGAGGAGGACAAAAAGGAAAAAGGGAAAGAGAATGAAAAAGATAAGGGCAAAGGAAAACCGAAAAGCAAGGACGGTCACAAGAAGTAAGCAGTGAATGTCCCTATGGGTGCCCTTTCACCTGAGCTGATGTAGCAGTTATCTTACATAGTTAATGTTTTCAGTTTAGAAAAAATATACCACTTTATTTGTAGGCTGCTTTTACCGACGATGCGCAACAGTGATCACCCGATGCACTAGATGGTGCCTGCCTGTCTGTTGCTGACAAGGGGCAATTTTTGTTTTGCCAATTTGCTCGAGGATTCAGTGCTTGCAACATGCGCAAGATGTGCAGTGCATATGTACAGACTCTGTACAGTGCATAGCTGCACACAGTTGCTCTCTTCGTCGTGGTCAATCCACCGAGAGAGCGAACGAGGGGAGAAGGAGAAGGAGATCCTTCTCTTCAGTGCACTGCTGCTCGCTCTGTGCTTGTTTTGAAAGCAGCGGCCTTTCTCTCTTTCCCTTTTTCCCTCTTTCTCAGCAACTCCAATCTCCCCTGCCACGGCTGATGATTCATCCAAGCACCACTGTCTGACTGCTGCTGCTGATGCTGATTTCATCTTAGCCGACACATTTCACGACGACGACAACCACTTCTTAGCGATCATTTCCCTTCAAACCACTAACTGCCGTTGACCGCCTCAACTGTCTCGATCAAGATGAGCAACAGCAACAACATGTACCCCTCGGTTCCCTCAGCACCGACCGAAGAGGGCGAGGGCATGGAGCCGACCAAGGTGTACCCGCCGTTGCAGGCCGTTTCCGGGGAGGCGTACGCAATGCCCCCACCGCCTGCCTACAGCGAACAGGCGCCCATTCTTCAGAATGTCCCTCAGCCGGCCACGCAAACTACAATTGGTATGTGCTAGACTAGACAGTTGTAAACCAAAAACTGGTGCTAATATTTTACATTTTGCAATTACAATTTGCATTTACAGTAATTGCCGACAACCTGCCGGCCAAGTCGATTCCCATGAAGTGCTACTACTGCAATGAAGACATCACCACCAAAATTGAGTCCAAGACAACCGTCGTCTCTTGGCTCCTGTGCTCGCTGCTTTGCATTTTTGGGTATGTAGACTGACTGACTGGGCATTGGAGATGTACAAGTGGCAATTTGTAGAATGAACAATATTTTTTGAAGAAACTTTTTTTTAAACAGAAGTGTCAACATTTACATTAGCTATTGATACCATAGCAAGTACTGCACTTTTGATTAGCGAGTGTTTTTCCTGGTGCTGCTGTTGCTATTGTTGTCTCTGTTTGTTTAGCTGTTGACAACAGCCAAACAGACTTCCCACACATTTGGAGATAGGCCACTGACAGGCGGCACTGATCAAGTTGAACAGCAACTATCAGCAGACAGCGCCAGAAGGTTGGCTAGTGACGGGCAAAAACTGGTCAACTCATTCCTGTACCAACTAACTCGGCATCAGTTGCCGTTTTTTATTTTTTGACTAATTATCACCTGGGCTAAACATGCGTGTCACCCATTTGGTTGTTGGGTTACGTCAAGTTGATTTCAGCTTGCTTGTGCAAGGCGGCATTGTGACTCAGTCAATGTTTTTCGGAAATGATTTTCAAATGCTTCGATAGATATTATCGATTGCAAAAGGTTACAGGTTACTACAAAAATAACGGTTCTAATTAACGATTTAAACATATTTTTGAGAAATATTTTACTAATTGGTTTTCTGTTTTACAGATGCTTTTGTGGCTGCTGTCTCATTCCACTGATGTGTTCCAATGGATCAAAAGACATTCTACACTACTGCCCGAAATGCAAGAAGTACCTCGGCTGCCATGAACGAGTTCGCTTTGGCCGCTTCAGCCGCAACTAAGTATGCAACCTCAGTGAAACTGACGCCATTTGTCAGTCTGCATTCTAATGACTTAATTATTGCTACCTTTTCCTTGTTTGATTACTGTATTTTTATATTCTCCACAAAGCATTTATTACCACGCCTGTCAGCACTTTTCTGTACACTTTCTGGAAGCACTATTTTCCCGATTTTATTGTGTAATTTGTGTTTTCCTCCTATTTTACAGCAGTTCATTGTCTGATTTTATGGCCATTCTTGTTTTTCACTACAACTGGCTACTTTTCTCACATTCTAAACAACTCTAAGCCGTTATTGCAAACTGTATATCACAAATACTTCTTTGTCTGCTTTTTAGTTTTCATTTCTGGTGCCATTTCTTGTCACCTGGTGATGATGATGATGATGATGATGATGATCTTATTTACTCAAACGATGTGTGATCAAGCAATCCTTTTTGTATGAAATTGGTGCTATTTGTCTATGTATTTTTTCACTTACACTTTTTGTCAATAATATATCACCAACCTGTAAGAGGGTCGCCCATTGATTCACTGAGAGTTTGTATAAGTTGGTATTACTGTCAAGTGTCTTGTGCAGTTCGTAATCGATCGATGTGACTGAATGTCAGTGGTTCCCTTCTGCTGCTGTTTTTTTGTTTTTTAGCATCGATTGACGTTTGATCAAGGTGACGCTTAGAATAAAAATAATTTTTAAAAACGAAACTACAATTAAACACTTTTCAGTGTAAAGACAATGTGCTTCGTTTTCATCAAATATTTTTTCTAGAAAGCACTACCTACCTGTAGTCGATGATTAGTGGGTGTGGGCTAATTGTTCGTATCTGCACTATTTGCTGTTTTTTTACTGAAAATTCTGCTGTATATTTGTGCTCGTTTGCCTGTTTTTTATGTCGTACTGTCACGGTGTGAGCTGATTTGACTGCACAGACACAGACCAGTGTACCAGGCAAATTGCCAGTTTGGCTTTGATGTCCTCAATTTTGCGTACACACATAAACCCCGCCACCAGCTCTTTTCTGGTGTGTTTTCAGGTTGTGCATATGTGCAACTAATCTCTGTTTCTGGTTAACAACATTTATTGCGAGTGACTCTCGCTCTGGTGTTTTTGTTTTAGTCCATTTCTCCAGTTTGCTTTTCCCTTTCTTCTTTACCTTTGACGCCATCGAACTCCAATCAGCCCGGGAATGTGAATGCCTGTTCATCTGTGCATTTTTTTATCAGTCCACAGGCACCAGCTGCACTTTTTTATTTTTGTCAACCGCATATCGATTACAGTAGTGCTTGTGTGTACTAGTAGTGCTGCGATAGCTTATTGGAAGCTTAGAATTGGCATTTTTAGAAAGTCCTGCAAGTAGTCGCTCTAGGACTGCCAATACTATAACACATTTAAAACTGCCATCTTTACTTTATCTTGTCGTAGTGCGATTAAAAACTCCCAGTTACCTTAGTTTTCCTGTGACTTTCAACCGCCTTTTTGCCATTTTCTCGCTATCAATCCACAGTAAAGTCGTTTTCATATGAATTGCTCTCTTTTCTTTCTGTTCAATTGCTATTGTTATCAGTGCGTGTCAAGTGAGTCAAGGCAGTCAGAGGTACAATTGTGCGATATTAGCCATACTAGCCAAGCCGACTAGCAACCAACTTTGTAGTTATCTTTTTTAGATCATTTTAGTTGCAGCAAGCGCCCTCTAACGAATCACCATTTTTGTTTATTGGCGCCCGCCACGTAAAAACGAAGCAAGTTGCGCTGGTTGTTTCAGTGCATTTTCTGATTCCAAGCAGAACAGGTCGTCGTCATTGTTTGCTTGCTTGCCCACGTTGCGCCCAACCCCAACGAACCAACAATTACCTGTCCTAAACAATCCCAAACGAACCAGTCAATTTAGAAGCAGTATCGACATCGAGAAGTCGACAGGCAAATGAGCTAATGCCAACTCAAGATTGCCTTTCGCATCAATCTTTAAGAATAGTTCAGAAATAAAAACCAATTCAGTGAAATGCTTTTCTCTGACAGTGCCGTTCTTTTCTAGCACGACCCTGATTTATGTGGCTTACACCAACCAATAATTTGACACCTCCCCAACTTTGGAGTGTATCAAACCTAATGTCTAAATGAATCTTGCCACAAAATGTTTACTATTTTATGCAACTATTGATTCTAAAAATATTTTAAACATTAGAAATCTACAATTTTTTTTATACAAAAGTAAGTTATTTATACTAAAAACAGTTTTTATTTGTTTACAAATATTTTTGGATTACAAACAATTAATACAAATTATTTTTTTAATTTTACCAGATTTTATTACAAACCAAATGCTGCTATGGTTTTAAAAAATTTTAAATACTTTACAGATTTAAAACTCCGTTAAAAGCAAAAAATGTGACAATTTAGTAGTAACTTATTTTACACTTTTACAAACATTTGAAGATCAGAATATTTCTAAATGTGGTTATCAGATAAAAAAAATTGAAACCGCATTCTAATGTTGATAATGATGGATATTAAGATTACAGCTGTAACATTGAACTGGAAATTTTAAAAACTCGTTTTGTTATACTAGAAATGGTATGACAAAAAATGCAAAAAAAATACAGCAAACAGACTGAAAAACTAAAACTAACACCAACAAAAACAAATTTTATCTCATTTGCAATCACTTAGGGTATATTGGTAGTGGACAGACAAAACGCCCATTTGATCATGTAATATCTATAAAAGAAAAGTTTTGGCTTTTTACTTAAAAAGAAGTACGACCATTGCACATTTTTAACCAAATCATTGCTGAATTTTTCCTCTTTTGTTATTGTAGTGTCTGAGAGCGTCTAAATCATTAATGTTTTGAATTGCTGCAAAATGCTTTAATGTTTGAAATTTATAACGTATTCCCCTTTTGTTGTTGC